TAATATGCAGAAACATAGCTATCAGATCATCTTTCAGCTCAACCGACAAGGTACACACTTGCCAGCTGATTTCCGCTGATCCTTTTGCGTTTTACTGGTTGGATAATAAAATAATTATATTCTCCGTATTCATATATCATTTCTTAGAAATATTTATTCATTTAAATATATAAAATAGCTGCTAAAATTCGCAAAAGATTTTGTGATCCCCCACCTCAATTTTGTAATAAATATGAAGTAGATCTCAAGAATTTTCGACAATTACTCAGACAGGCCCCGGTTTTAATTTTCACAAAAATTTACTTTTAAAAACGCAAAAACTTGTGCTTCCGTTATCACAAAACAAACGGAAATATTTTCCTCACCGAAATGAAAAGTAAACGGATTTTTTTCCTTTTGCAATTAAGATTCGTTGTGTTGTATAAAAATCCGTTTACTTTTCATTTCGGCATTAAAATAAATTCGACGCTATTACCAGGACAATTTAGCTTGTGCCTTCTTTATAAATAATTGTCTCTAGAACCAACCTCAAATTTGGATCGGAATTAATTTGTCAGGGCAACAATACTTTTTGTTTCGCAACAGGTGTTGCATCTAAGATGTCTTGGTTTTCTTAAATCGCGCAATTGCAAAAATATAGGAATTTTTAGCACGCTGTTTATTACGAAGCAACCAGATCAGCTGTTTTTGTTTGCCAGAATCGATGAAACTGCCTGTTTGACTTTGTTCAGACTATGAAGAGATCAGAACATATTTAACGATCAAGTCCGATTTTATGATTGGTCAAACCTTAGCCGTTAATCCATACATTTTTCTTGAATCTGCAATATTGTGGATGCAACAGATTTTCGTCCTTTGTGGGGGCGGATGGGGGTGGGGCGAAATTCTGAGATATACGTTATATAGTGAGATTTAACAGAAGTGCGGATACCAAATTTGGTGGCTCTAGACTTAATAGTCTCTGAGATTTGTGGTTGCCCCGGATTTTCGTCCTTTGCGGGGGCGGAAGGGGGTGCGGCAAAATTTTGACACAAAACGGTCAAGGTCCGATATCACAGGAGTGTGTATATCAAATTTGGTTGCTCTAGCTCTTATGGGTTCTGAGATCCTAGAACTCACATTTTGCAATTGGCAAAACCGACCATGAAACCTGTGTGTTAGAGCGAGAGTGAAATTGTTTTCGTGATTCTGGCTATAATAATTATACGATTTGGTTCAGATTTTGCACTCTGGAAGATATAGTCATCTTCTACGATTCTGCGTTTTCTGTTTTCTCGTATCTTTTAAATTGTGGATGCCACAGATTTTCGCTCTTTGTGGGGGCGGAAGTATGCGGAGCAAAGTTTTGAAACATGCTTGTAACAGTGACATATCACAAAAGTCTGGATTTGAAATGTCGTTTCTCTAGCTCTTTTAGTCTTTCAGCAATAGGCACTGATAGGGACGGAAATACGGACAGACGGACCGACGGACAGACAGACAGGGCTCAATCGACTCGGCTATTGATGCTGATCAAGAATATATATACTTTATGGGGTCGGAATCTGGTCTGATGAGCTCGTGAGGTGGCTCAAAGGGGGCCTAGCCGAGGCCACCGGACGGGTTGCAGGTTGCGGATAGCGACATCCCTAGGGAGAGTACCGAAAATAAGCAACCCCGGACAGCCAGCGGGTGTTCGCGAAGTAGCAACACTGACGATGCGCTTGTGGTGCCGCCTCGTATAAGTAGCTCACACACTACCCTATCCCTACACACTACCTACCCACATCCCAACCCCCACATTCAGCTCACACCGGGCCGGACTAAGAGTGTTATTCGACCCGTGCCGAGAGTCAGCCTGGCTGGGGGCCCGGTATATAAAACTAGCCCAGTCGTTAACGGAGAGCTCAGGGACTTGGCAGCCCCCTGTTCTAAGTATGCCTTATCCGGGCAACGTGGATCTCTGCCCGGACGGACCGTACCCCTTCTCTGCAGCTCGTGGGAAAAGAATGGAAGATTTTAAAAACAAACAAAATGAGTCTGGCACTCCCCAAATGCCAACAGGGAGCAATCCCAAACTGGGGAAGGCAGCGGCCCAAAGGCCTGGCCCGACCCGCAAATCAGCAGTGAAAACCTGCGCGGCGGAAGATGCTAGGGAGAGCCCAAAGGGGTCCCACCCTGGTGTCGGGGTGGGTGGTGAATTGGCTATGCAATCCTGTGGCTGCTCTGCCTGTCACCATCTACTAGCGTCCAAGCCAAATCTTTTACATATGCCGATAGAAGAAGTGCTGGCAATATACTCCGTCGGCAGAACGCAAGCCAGGTCTCTAAGGTGCTGCCGAACTTTGGCAAGGAAGCACCGAAGAAGGAAGCCCCTCAGCCAAAAAGGCAGCGCTCGCAAAAGACTCCCGGGCCAACACCAAAGCGCCCGAGACTACTGCTAAATACATCGCTCTACAAGCCTAGAGGCTTCCTAGACAAAGGCGGAAGGTGGAAGCGGGTGGAAGTGGACCGCTGCTTCGAGCTGCTGGAAAAGTAGCCTGCTGTCAGGGGCACAGCATGCCTACCGGAAAGGAAAATCCACGGAAACGGCTCTTTATGAAGTAATCTCAGCGGTAGAGAAATCTCTGCATCACAAAGAGTGCTCACTCATAGCCTTTCTCAATATTGAGGGAGCTTTCAACAACGTTGTACCGGGCGCCATTACAGAAGCCCTGACTGACCTGGGGGTGGACCGTCACTTGGTGATGCTCATTGATCAATTGCTCACATGCAGGACGGTGACATAATCGATGGGATCGTCCGCCCAGTCAAGGTATGTCAACAGAAGCACCCCGCAAGGTGGTGTCCTGTCTCCTCTTCTGTGGAACATAGCAGTCAACAAGATTCTATGTGACCTAGAAGGGGGGGCTGCAAAGTCGTGGCCTATGCGGACGACGTTGCGATTATATTCTCGGGGAAATACCCCCAAACACTGTGCGACTTAATGACCACAAAGCTAGCGCAACTGTCGGATTGGACAAAATCGCGCGGTCTGGGAGTAAATCCCTCAAAAATGGAACTGGTATTATTCACAAATAAATACAAGGTCCCGCCCCTCAATCCACCAATACTACAAGGATGCAGGCTCTCCTTTAGCGACAGTGCCAGTTACTTAGGGTTGGTAATTGACAAGAAGCTTAGCTGGAACCTGAATGTCAAAGACAGAGTGAAGAAGGCAATGACTGCACTCTACACATGCAAAAAAGCTATTGGGCTAAGATGGGGTATGATCCCAAGCATAGTCCAATGGATATATCAAGCTATAGTTAGACCAATACTACTCTACGGAGTTACGGTGTGGTGGCCGGCCCTATGAAAAAGGGCGATCACCAAGCAACTGGGCAAAGTCCAGCGGACTGCCGCCCTATGTATCAGCGGAGCTCTTCGCACCACCCCAAATGATGCGCTAAAAGCCATCCTATGCCTACAGAGCCTTGACCTCGCAGGAAAGGAACGGGCAGAAGCAGCAGCAGCAGCAATACGTCTAAGAGACTCAGATCAATGGGTGACACAGTGCATAGGTCACTCAGCCATATTAAATAATAGCAGTACCGTCCCCTCAAAAACAGACTACCAAGTTCCAAGAGAGTACACAGTCACTCCCTTCGACACAATCATCCCTCACAGAGACGAATGGCTCGAGGGACTCCCAGGCTCAGATGGGGCCATAAACATCTTCACAGATGGATCAAAGCTGGACGACAGAGTCGGAGGGGGAATCTACTCTGAACAGCTAAACATAAGGCATTCCTTCAGGCTCCCAGATCATTGCAGTGTCTTTCAAGCGGAAGTCATAGCAATCAGGGAGGCTCTAGACTGCCTACAAGCGGCTGCCGTTACGACAACCAAGCTAAACATTTATAGCGACAGCCAGGCTGCGATCAAATCGCTAAGTGCGATTTCCTCGAACTCGGCCACCGTGGCAGACTGCCGCAAATCTCTGCACGAGATGGCTCAGCAATTTGCTATTAGCCTGATTTGGGTCCCGGGCCACCGGGACATCGAGGGCAACTGTATAGCGGACGAGCTGGCCAGAGCTGGCACTACAATCCCCCTTCTCCAAGACAAGGAGGATATCTGTATGCCAATGGCCACCTGTAAGCTCATTATAAGGGAGCAATACAAGCGACTAACAAACGATATGTGGCAAACAGTGCCACGATGTCGCACAACTCGGCAAACATGGCCGGCCATGGACATGAAGCGCACCTCCGAGCTCCTCAAGTTAAGCAGGAAAAGGTGCAGCGTAGTCATACGTTCCCTCACGGGACACTGGCTAATAGGCACCCACGCTAACAGGCTGGGGGCCCCACATAACGATTTTTGTCGCAGCTGTAGAGACGAGGAAGAGGAGGAGACAGTGGAACAACTGTTCTGCTCCTGCCCAGCTCTCAGCACAAGAAGGCTACAGCACCTGGGCTCAGCCTTTCTACACGACATCTCAGAGATGTCCAAACTATGTCCCAGGAGGATAGCGAACTTTGTGAGAGCATCTGGATGGGATAATTGCTGACAGGAAGTCTCATGACGCAGGAAGGAATGATCCTATGCGGTATCACAACGGGCCGAAACCGGCGTAGGTGTGACGGGTTCCGAGCGAGCCCGGCAGCCGCCTCAACCTAACCTAACCTTATGGGGTCGGAAACGATTCCTTCTGGACGTTACACACATCCACTTTTACCACAAATCTAATATACCCCAATACTCATTTTGAGTATCGGGTATAAAAACACAAGAACATTTTTTTTTCCAACTTTTACCGAGTTTTTAAAGTCAAAATTACGCGAAAAAAATATAGAAAAAATTAATTAATAATTTTGCATTTGAAAGCTTAATAAATATATCCCAACTGGTAAGATGAAGCTTAGATGTGTTGGGGTCCGATTAATAGTTGCATATATAAATTTTTCAGAATTGCATAGTAGAGCTGCGTTTGCAGTGTATTTAAAATTTGATACACTAATTTATTCTGTAATTGTGTAATAAGTGTAGTTTTTTTTCTGTTTACATTTAATTGTTCAGGTTTATTTTTTTACCGTTTTCCCTTTCCAATTTTAGCACCTTTTTTGCGTTGCTTTATAGCGACTGAAGAGCGTTTATCCTTCTTCTCTCGCGGATCTACGACGCGATAACGTCCTTTAACACCAGCTGGGCGACGGGACCGACGAGACGAAGTGTGCTTTTTAGCGACTACATATGTAATCTCCTTTTTCTTTTCTTGTGCTTTCTTATATACCTTTCTAAGTTGCTTTGCCTTCTCATGGGTTGAGGCATCAGCGTTTTCCATTATCTTTTCGGCCATTTTTTTTGCTTTGGCCAAGCGCTTTGTAGAACGGCGCTTCTTTCGTGCTTTTGCCTCCATTACTTTTTTTATAGGGCGCACATTTAACTCCTGGACCTTGCGTTGGTATTCTTCGGTAAGCTCTTGAGGCACTGGTTGTGGCATAGTCATGTGTTCATGTTCATCCTGTATAAGCCAAGCTGGCAGGTTTTTATCGTTAAAAGCATAACGGTTCCAGGCTGCATCAATAAGATCCCGTTGCGTTTTCTTTCCGCGAATCAAAAACGCACCAAGAGCTATCTCTTCTTCGGTCAGACGTACCTTTTTCGGTTTTGACACTGAAATAGTAACATTAGACAAAACCTTTATATAAAACGTATATCATATTATTATTATATTTATATATAAAAGATAGATATATTTAGACTACCTAATAAAATATAATAAGACCGTATCATTACCAACCTTTTGACATATCTTCAGCAGCAGTATCTTTGAAAAGCTCTTCAGAGTCGGAGCACTCTGAGCTGCTCTCCCCCGTCATAGTTTCATGGCGGGCGCGCCGTTTAGCCTTCTTGCCCAAGGCAACATGTCCATTTATATCCATGCTGAGGGTGCTCTTACCCAGAACGGAGACACTCTTTATATTATACTCTATCGCCATATTACTCAAATCATAGTTTTCATCATCGTCATCCGATGGAATGTTTTGTAGATTGTCCTTCTCGTACCAAAGCTGCACACGTTGCTGTCGCTTGGTGTCTTTGTCCCGAAAATCACTTGACTTTATGAGCGGATGTTCCTCGTGCTTTTTTTTTCCTTTACCATCTTTAAAAATATCTTCATCATCGTCGCTTAGACCTAAACCTCGCTCATTAAAGTTCCCATCGCTGTCCTCATCGACAAACTCCGAAAGATGTTCGATGCAACGTGGTCAGGTCACAGCTATTATAAGAGCGCGAGACATAATCAACACGACCTACATAGAATACAAAGAAGCAAATGCCAAATTCAAAAGAACAATCAGGGAAGCTAAACAGAAATCGATTCTTGATTTTACAGCCCAAATACATCCTACCTCAGACACATCCTCAACATGGTCTAACATCAGACGACTATGCGGACTTTACCCTGTCAAACACATTCACAATATCTTTAACCCACACACCCAAACAAACACAACCAACTAAACCGAGATAGCCAACTCCTTCGCCCACACGTGGTCAGAAGAAGCTCACGATCGTAATTTCTCTGCAACATTCCGGACGAACAAATCCCACACAGACTCCCATATAAACTACACCCCAACTTCACCAGCAATAGAAATCGAAAATGACATTACACCCATAGAATTCTCATCAGCACTGTACTCCCTGAAAGGAAACACCCCCGGCCTCGACCGGGGGTCAATGATAAAAAACGCACCCCCCACCCTTAAAACCAGAATAGTAGACCACTTTAACAAAATACTCGACTCATACATCCCTCAATCGCTCAAACTCAGCCTAGTCCTCCCGATTCTAAAACCACAAAAACCACTAACAGACATTAAATCCTACAGACCTATATCACTTAACTCATGCTTAGCCAAAACGCTCGATAAGATAGTGGTAAAAAGGTTATGATGGTTTTTTTTGAAAAATAAACAAATTCGCAACAGCCAACTAGGCTTTAAAAGAGGCAAATCGGTACTAGACAGTCTACTCTACGTAGACCACCTAGCTACCAAAGCCATTGTCCAAAAAAACAGCTAACCTTAATATCCCTTGATTTCACCAAAGCTTTCGACAAAATAGGAATCCACTCCATCATTCAACAACTAAAAAAATGGAAAGTAGGTCCGCGAATGTTACAATACGTCATAAACTTCATGTCAAACAGGAAAATTCTCGTGAAAAGTGGCTCTAACCTCTCGAACACCGTCCCACTCCCCAACGGCATACCCCAAGGCTCCCCCATCTCAGTTATCCTTTTTCTTATAGCGTACAACCCACTCTCCGAAATCTTATCCTTTCACAAGCAAATCAAATTCAGTGCATACGCCGACGACTTCCTCCTTATCATACAACACAACAAAAGAAAAAGCCGCACAACCGACATCCAATCAATCCTCAACCAAATAAACAACTGGTGCACTCAGTCAGGAGCAGACCTCTCCAAAGACAAAAGCCAACTCCTACACATATGTCGCAAACATTACTGCAAACCAAAATTCCTTACTGGCAGCACATCCATCAACCAAAACAGCTCACTCAGACTACTAGGCCTTACACTCAACTCCAGATACAACTGGAATTCGCACATCAATAAACTCAAAATAGACCTTGCCAAGCCACTGGGCATTATCAAACACCTCTCGTCCTTAAAATGCAACTGCCACACCTCAACACTTGTACAAATTATGAAATCTCTAATCATTTCCAGAGTAGACTTCTGCCTCCCTATATACGGTTACGCACCAAAAGCCAGTTCAACCGCCTGAAAACTACGATTAATGCAGCAACAAGAGCCGCCCTGGGTGCATTCCGCACCACACCCACTAACAACCTTCTATCCGAAGCCAACTTACACACCCTCTAAAACAAGCGAGATTTTCTAACAGGCAAAATATTCAAAAATTCAAATATTCACGCTAAAGACTCCCCCCTAAACTCACTCCCAAAAAACCTAAAAAAAAACACAGACTGCTAAGCACGATTGACAGAGCCAAACAAATTTCCCAGAATAACCTCATACCGTTCTCCCCGATTAAAACCTCCAACACCAATAAATTCAACATGACAACCATCCTTAAATCAACCAACATCACCCTATCCAAACACGATAAAAACACCACCCCCCCAATAGTCTTCCAGCAACTCTTCCACACCATCAAATCCAACCTCCACCAACACACCTTCCTATACACAGACGGGTCCAAATCAGCAGGCATTACCAGCTATAGCATCTGCAGTGAGACATCAACCATAAGATCCGGACTACTTCTACAGTACTCCTCAGTCCTTTCCAGCGAAATTATAGCTATCCACGAAGCCATTTTATTAAGCCGCAACAAACGCGGAAGATACGCTATCTGCACGGACTCACTCTCCTCTATTTCCGCAATTACCAATCCCAACATTTAATCGCACTACCCCACCACAATCCGTAACCTCGTCACCAAACTATTCCCAGAAATAACAATTATCTGGATACCTAGCCACATTGGCATAAAAGGGAACGAAATTGCTGACACCGCAGCCAAAACTACCTCCAAACAACCCCTCATATATACCTCCAATCATAATTCCATAATAATTCTCACTATTCCTTAAGAAAATCCTCCTATCGAAACAAACAGACCTCCTCACTAAGACTTCCCCCTGGTACCAACAAGTTATCGATCTATCTTCCACTCATCCTCCCCCCAAAAACATAAACAACCTTAACAGAAAACACCAAGTCATCCTAAACAGACTGAGACTAGGGCACACAAGATTCACCAATGCCCACTACATGGATAAAACATCCTCCAACGCATTCCCACTGTGCCACAACCCAACCATAGACATAAGACTCATACCATACACATGCCCGCTCTCTCTCTGCAAAGATCCTCAATATTCCATAGCGCAAAAATAATCCCCAACTACCTAGTTCAATCGAAAATCATTTACTACATATAAACTCAAAAACTATCATCACTGTACATATACATATACACAACTAGTATACTAGATAATAATTCCGTTACAACATATAATATCATATAAAACCAGTCCTGTACATATGTATATAAATTCATACATACTCAAGTGTATAATTATACCATAGCGAGCTTAAGGCCTCAGTAGCACCTCAGTAATACCTAATTTTAACTATTTATTAGCTTTATATAATAATAATAAAAATAGTATTGATTTGATTTTCATTGGTAAGTTTGATGGTTTAGAAGTTTTGTACACATGCACGAGGTGCATCGCTTAAAACCAGCTTTAGGGATCGCGCACACTGTGTCTGAAAAGGCTCGCTGAAATCAGCTCAGCTTAGTTAGATCAATCAAGCATGTTTTTTTTTCAGCAAGATGATTGCTGATATGTATTTACCATCAATATATCATCAAAAATGGGTGGGCTATGTACAAACATGTAATTACACAAATGGAAAGTTTTGGGCTGACTCTCATAAAAAAAACATAGATGTTTTTCACAGAACAACTTGTTTATAAAAATACAGATGTTCGATTCCATTCCAACAGTCATGATTGTCAAAGCTATAAAATATACCTATGTATATGCTGTTTCATTTCGTTGAGATAGTTCTTAAATTCCAATAATCGTTTAATATGCAGAAACATAGCTATCAGATCATCTTTCAGCTCAACCGACAAGGTACACACTTGCCAGCTGATTTCCGCTGATCCTTTTGCGTTTTACTGGTTGGATAATAAAATAATTATATTCTCCGTATTCATATATCATTTCTTAGAAATATTTATTCATTTAAATATATAAAATAGCTGCTAAAATTCGCAAAAGAATTTGTGATCCCCCACCTCAATTTTGTAATAAATATGAAGTAGATCTCAAGAATTTTCGACAATTACTCAGACAGGCCCCGGTTTTAATTTTCACAAAAATTTACTTTTAAAAACGCAAAAACTTGTGCTTCCGTTATCACAAAACAAACGGAAATATTTTCCTCACCGAAATGAAAAGTAAACGGATTTTTTTCCTTTTGCAATTAAGATTCGTTGTGTTGTATAAAAATCCGTTTACTTTTCATTTCGGCATTAAAATAAATTCGACGCTATTACCAGGACAATTTAGCTTGTGCCTTCTTTATAAATAATTGTCTCTAGAACCAACCTCAAATTTGGATCGGAATTAATTTGTCAGAGCAACAATACTTTTTGTTTCGCAACAGGTGTTGCATCTAAGATGTCTTGGTTTTCTTAAATCGCGCAATTGCAAAAATATAGGAATTTTTAGCACGCTGTTTATTACGAAGCAACCAGATCAGCTGTTTTTGTTTGCCAGAATCGATGAAACTGCCTGTTTGACTTTGTTCAGACTATGGAGAGATCAGAACATATTTAACGATCAAGTCCGATTTTATGATTGGTCAAACCTTAGCCGTTAATCCATACATTTTTATAAACGATATCTAAAACGACGACCATAACTTTTAAAATATAAAAACAAGAACATTTTTTTTCCAACTTTTACCGAGTTTTTAAAGTCAAAATTACGCGAAAAAAATATAGAAAAAATTAATAATTTTGCATTTGAAAGCTTAATAAATATATCCCAAATGGTAAGATGAAGCTTAGATGTGTTGGGGTCCGATTAATAGTTGCATTTATAAGTTTTCCAGAATTGCATAGTAGAGCTGCGTTTGCAGTGTATTTAAAATTGGATACACTAATTCATTCTGTAATTGTGTAATAAGTGTAGTTTTTTTTCTGTTTACATTTAATTGTTCAGGTTTATTTTTTTACCGTTTTC